ATTTGGGAGGCTATATAAACAAGTGGTAGGTAGCGCGACATAGCAATAGAATGAACAACTAGCAAGCAAAGATAGAAGTGATATCGGGGGTAACGATCATCTTGTCTGAAATGTCCTTAGTGGGAACGAAAGCTTGCTCCTCGTGAACGTACTCGACAGGGACCTCGTTCACGAACTCGTCTCCCGACTCTACCCAAAGCAAGAACACAAACAACGTAACAATAATCAATCTCGGTGCAATGCGCAAGTAACATGATGCAAGACATGTTATGGAATACAAGATATGATGTGCATATGCATATGAGGTGCTTCGGAAGGGGTGCAAGCGAGACGGAAGGAGAGAACGATGAACATGGCACTATGTTGGTAATCTAAGCATTCCAGTGGATAGATTGGAAGATTTCGGTTGAAATCGATATAAAGAACACGAGGAACGGATGCACACAACTCAAACAGTGAGCAAAACAATGAACAATGCAAAACTGACAATAACAGCAACATGACAATTAAGATGCAACATCTAAATATGCTACAACACTCCAACACGAAAAAAATGGCATGGAATTGAAGTACATGACAAGCACTACAAAACATGATTACTGAGCTACTGCTAAAACTCACTAGAACATGTTTAAAACAGCATGGCAAGATTGCAAATGATAACAAGTTTTCAGACTTGGTGGAATTTACTGGACATGGCAGAAACAGAATTAAGTAGGCATGTTTGCAAGCTTGGTTACCTCACCACAAAGCATATAATGGCATGAAAATACAACCAACATTAATACGACATGTTTGTGCAACTACTCGTGTCAAGAATATGGTCATAGGATACACAAAACACTAACTATACACTTTGCAAAAATGAACTTGATGTTAACAGGTTGACTAAAATATTTGTAAGCAATTTTAGAGCCTGATAACAACAAGCTGCAGTAGGCTATAATTGCAAAACATGGCATGGATGGATATAGCATAACATGATCTTCAAAACATGATTACTGAACATCTCCAGATTATGCATAGATTTGATGGTAGCATTAAGTAAACATGGCATCATAATGTAACAGTTTTAGACTTAACAAAATTTACTGTTTCTGAAAACAGAAACAACAAGTAGCCCACTTCGCAAGCTTGTGCTAGTCACCACAGGGCATATCATGATAAGTGGGTTACAGAACTGCAAAGATGACATGATTATGCTCCTAAAACATGTAGGCATGTTGCTCAAAAGAAAATCACATAAAATTCTATGAAAAGACAAAATGACATGTTACAGCAGTTTTCTGCACTTAACAAGACTTAGCACTTTTGCAACAATGATAATGACATCAATATGATTCCTAACATGCATCCTAAGTACACCACCATGTAGAGCATGAAGATCAGAACATATTGACATATCATACACTCCAATCGGATATAAATGCACGAAGTTATGGGTCTCATAAGGAGGCAACATAATGCTGATACAGAAAAGACTTGGCCATTTTTCACCTCGCGAAAAACGGGACGGAGAGGAGCGGGATGGCGCGGTGCGGCTCCTAATTAGGGTTTGGAGCTAGGAGAGGAGTTTTTCAGGGCCATTTTCGCCCACACGGTCGTGATCCGATGGCGAAGAGCATGGAGGGGAGTTAGGTGGGCTAGTGGGCTGTTGTGGAGAGGTGTTGGGCTGCAAAGAGAAGGAGGGATAGGGTCCGGTTCGTCTCGGAGTTCCAAAACATCCGACGGTTTATGTGGTTAACCGTTGGGGCATCAAACGACCTCCAAATGGAATGAAATTTGACAGGCGGTCTCCCGGTGATATACCAAGACCGCTCATCAACTCTTGGCCCATTCCGAGAATGTTTTTCTCCCGCTCATAAAACAAGATCTTGGAGGTGCGGCGGATGCGTGTGGGAGTGTCGGAATTCGAAATGGACAGCATTTCTCTCGAACATGACCGGATGCAAGTGTTGAACACGAATGCAAATGTAATGCACATGATGACATGAGATGAAATGCATGACATGAAGAAAGAATGCACGCACAACGAGAAAATCCAAGCACGAATAATTAATATAGCATTGCCGAAAATGGCGAGAGTTGGAGGTACAAATATGGAATGTTATGTCCGGGACATTACAAGAGATTCTATTCCAACCATTTGAACGTTGATTTCTAGTGTTCCCCAAGTTGCTTTCCACTCAAAGCCTTCTTCCACCATAGCCAAATCTCTGAGACAGAGTTGAGTGTTGGGGAGACTATCATTTGAAGCACAAGAGCAAGGAGTTCATCATCAACACATCGTCTATTACCTTTTGGAGAGTGGTGTCTCCTAGAATGGTTAGGTGTCTCTTGGGAACCTCCGTCCTGATGTGGAGTTAAACCAAGAAGTTTGTAAGGGCAAGGAGATCACCTACTTCGTGAAGATCTACCTGAGTGAGGCAAGTCCTTCATGGGCGATGGCCATTGTGGGATAGACAAGGTTGCTTCTTCGTGGACCCTTCATGGGTGGAGCCCTCTGTGGACTCGCGCAACCGTTACCCTTCGTGGGTTTAAGTCTCCATCAACGTGTGCATACGATAGCACCACCTATTAGAACCACGCCAAAAATCTCCGTGTCTCCATTGCGTTTAGCTTCTCCAAACCCTTCCCTTTACCTTAATATGCAATGTTTTGCATTCTGCTGCTATGCTCTTAGAATTGCATGTGTAGGTTGATTGCTTGACTTGTCATAATTGCTAAAATATGCCCACAACTAAAATTGGGAAAAGGAAATATTTTTATTTTGTCAAGTAGTATAATCACCCCCCCCCCTCTAGACGTACTTTCGATCCTACAAAAACCGCTTGCCATTTCCTTCTGCTCCTCGTTGGGTTCGACACTCTTACTTATCGAAAGGACTACTATTGATTCCCTATACTTGTGGGTCATCACTACTAAGAAGAAAACGACGGGGTTAATCATATTGCTTGGTTTTATTCTATTTACATTATGTCATCATACTTCATGCATTACTCTGTCTGTTATGAACTTAATACATAGAGAGGCAAGCATAGAAGCGCTCTCAAAGTGTAGTAATAGTAGTAGATGCAGGCATGAGTCGGTGTACTTGTCACGGACGTAATGCCTATGTACATGATCATGCCATGAATAACGCCATAACTATGCGCTTTTCTATCAATTGCTCAACAATAAATTGTCTACCCACCGTATGCTATATTTATGAGAGAGAAGATCTAGTGAAAACTATGTCCCTCGGGTCTATCTTAATCATATTTGATGACCCACAAGTATAGGGGATCAATTGTAGTCCTTTCGATAAGTACTTTCGATAAGTAAGAGTGTCAAACCCAACGAGGAGCAGAAGGAAATGATAAGCAATTTTCAGGAAGGTATTCTCTGCAAGCACTGAAAGTAGCGGTGATAGATAGTTTGATAGTAAGGCAATTTTTAACAAGTAACAGGTAGCAATAGTAACAATAGGTGTAGAAAGGTGGCCCAACCCTTTTTATAACAAGGGATAAGCCGGAACGTTCTCTTATATTAAGCAAAGCTTTCTTGAGGACACATGGGAATTGTCATCTAGTCACGTTTATCATGTTTAGTTGATTCGCGTTTGCTACTTTGATAATTTTATATGTGGGTGGACCGGTGCCAGGGTGCTGTTCTTACTTGAAAAAGCAATCCTGTATGATTACCCCCCTCGCAAGCATCCACAACTACGAAGGATTAAGATAAATCTTGCCATAGTATTAAACATATGGATCCAAATCAGCCCCTTATGGAATAACGCATAAAATAGGGTTTAAGTTTCTGTCACTCTTGCAACCCATCATCTACTTATTACTCCTCAATATCTTCTCTTAGGCCCAAGTATGGTGAAATGTCATGTAGTCAACGTTCACATGACATCACTAAAGAAAGAACAACATACATATCATCAAAAAATTGAACAAATACTAACTTCACATGATTACGTATAACAAGACTTCTCACATGTCCTCAAGAATAAAAGTAACTACTCAAAAATCATATTCATGTTCAAGATCAGAAGGGTATTGAATATGTTTGAGGATCTGAACATTTAATATTCCACCAAATAAACCAACTAGCATCAACTACAAGATGTAATCAACACTACTAGCAATCCACGGGTACCAATCTGAGATTTTGAGATAAAGATTGAATACAAGAGATGAACTAGGGTTTGAGAGGAGATGGTGTTGTTGAAGATGTTGATGAAGATTGGTCCTACGTGACGTGTGAAAGCCTAGGCTTCAGCACCCCACGTGAATAATCTGAGCAGTCTAATTCTCGTAGATCATAGGGCTAACCAGGCAGCTGATTGTTATTGGTTATGAGCCAGATGACGCCTAGTAGACGCCTTTTTTTCGTTCATGACTATAAGTTAGTTTTCCTTTTTTTTCTCTGTGTGATTATTTTTTTCTTTTTTCTTCATGTTTATTTTTCTTTTCCTTTTTCCTATATTTCAGAATTGTTATTTTGTACACACTAAACTTTTTTTATATACTATGAACATTTTTTAAGTATACACTAAACTTTTTTTGTATACGATGAACTATTTTTTTACATTGAACATTTTTAGTGTATGATAAATCTTTTTTAGTTATACAATGAACATTGTTTAAATACACACTTAATATGCCGTGAAATTTTATGTATGCACTGAACCTTTTTATATAAACACATACTGAAAAAACTTCTGAAATAGTTTTTCTAATTTTTCAATTGGTTTTAGAATATTTAGCTCCATACAAAACAACAGTCGGTTTTGTTTGGAGAAAAACTTACTAAAAAACTAAAGGGACAGAAAAACGTTCGCGCCACTGTGGGCTGGCCCATATGCCAAGACTGTCAGGCGTGGCCTAGCCTGTTTGACGCCAATGGGCGTCACACAGGAGGTCTCGTCGTAAGCGAAACACAGCTCCTGTCTGTGTAAAACTCACACACAGCACAAACCAAAAAAAGAAGTCCCGCGCGGCGCCACCGCGACGATGCTTCCGGCACCTCCTCCGTTCTCCCACGGCGACTTCGTCGGCGTTCTCTCCCGCTGCGCCACCCTCGCTCACCTGAAGCAGCTCCATGCCCACTCCGTCGTCACCGCCCGCGCCGCCACGCAACCCACCACCTTCCACCTCCTCCGTTTCGCATCCCTCCGCCTCTCCTGCCTCCCCTACGCCCGCCGCCTCTTTGACTCCACGCCCTATCCCAATGTCTTCCTCTACTCCGCCATGCTCTCTGCCTACGCCGCCGCATCCCCCGCGCAGGCGTACGCCCAGGACGCCCTCGCCCTCTTCCTCCGTATGCTCCGCCGCGGCCGCTCCGCGCCCAACCAGTTCGTCTACCCGCTGGTCCTCCGCGCCGCCTGCGTCGTCGGCGTACAGCTGGTTAGGTCGATCCATTCCCACGCCTACAAGAGCGGGTTCCACGCGCATGATGTTGTAAGGACTTCGCTGCTTGATGGGTACTCGAGGTATGGCATGATGCTGGACGCACGAAAGCTGTTTGGTGGTTTGACCGAGAGGAATGTGGTCTCCTGGACCGCGCTACTGTCCGGCTACACAAGGGCCGGGAAGGTCGGAGACGCGATTGCTCTGTTTGAACGGATGCCCGAGAGGGATGTGGCTGCGTGGAATGCGATGATCGCTGGCTGCACGCAGAATGGATTGTTTCTGGAGGCTCTGGGGATTTGTAGCAGGATGGTGGAAGAGGGGTTCCGGCCGAATGGGACCACAGTTGCTTGTGTGCTGTCTGCATGTGGGCACCTTGGGATGCTGAAAATCGGGAAGGTCATCCATGGTTATGCGTGGAGGAGCTGTGTTGGTTTTGGCTCGTCTGTTGTGAATGGGTTGATTGATATGTATGGCAAATGCGGGACTTTGAAGGGGGCGAGGTGGATGTTTGATGAGTTTTCCGACAAGAGTCTGACCACATGGAATTGTCTGATTAATTGCCTTGCACTACATGGGCACAGCAAGAGTGCAATTGCTGTCTTCGGTGAGATGAGGAACGCAGGAATTGAACCTGATGAGGTTACATTTGTGGGACTGTTAAATGCGTGCACCCATGGTGGATTTGTCGATGAAGGGCTTATGTACTTTGAACTCATGTGCGATGAGCTGAGAATTGAGCCAGAGATTGAGCATTATGGGTGTATCATTGACCTTCTTGGTCGAGCAGCACGATTTGAAGATGTAATGAATGTAATCAAAGATATGAAAGTCCAACCAGATGAGGTCATTTGGGGGTCACTTCTCAATGCCTGTAGGGTACACAGACAGCTAGAGCTTGCTGAGTTTGCTATAAGAAAATTACTGCAGTTGAACCCGAACAATGTTAATTATGTTGTGATGCTGGCAAACTTATACAGTGAAGGTGGATCCTGGGAACAGGTTACGAAGGTAAGGAAGCTGATGCAGGAGGATATGGGCAAGAAAGTGCCTGGTTGTAGTTGGATCGAGGTGGATCGCAAGACACACATGTTTTACTCTGGTGACGATACTCATCCTGTATCAGAGGATATCTGTAACACTCTTGTGGAATTAGTGGCCTCAATGGAAATGTGCCAGGATTAATTTCTTATAGACGCAACAGGAGTTCTTCCTGTATAGTATTATGAGAAGTAGACATTACAGGCTGAAGCCTAAATAGAAGAAAAGCCCGTGAGGATTGATTTGGATAGATTGATAGTTTTATTTTGAAAGTCGGAAACTTCTATTCCGTAAGTGAAGTGGGGTAAATTGAAATTTTTGACCTAGGCTGATTAGGAGTTATGTTGGATGTACGCATGAAGGTATTCCCTCGAACCCCACTATCAAGTTACTCCATGCCAGAGGTAGTACTTATGCCAGTACTGTACTGTACTTCTGTAGGGACTGATGTGTTACTATTTCATAGCGCAATTGGTGCATAAGGTATGCATGTATTTTCATGTCATTCATATTGATTATTTAAGTTATGAATGACCTTATATATTTATGTTAATCTTATTAATTAGTGTCGGTTTAATAATCAGTAGTGCTGCTAGCAGTCCCACATTCAGTCCCACGTGTAGCTTCCCTATCTTTTGTCTTCACTGCTGTTCTGTTGATTAGATCGATGTTCTGTGTTTCCATTGGTTAGCGACTATTGCCTGACAATCTGATATGCCATTTTGTGTTGTGACTGGTGGAAGGTAGCGTACTATCTAGTTAGGGATGAAAATGGAGCGAAAACTTTCTGTTTTTTCAGAGGAAAAATGGAAACGGACAGGAAATATGAAAATGGAAATGGAAATTTGCAAAACGGAAATGGAAATGGAATTTTTTAATGTGGAAATGGAAACAAAAACGGAATGGCGTTTTCCGGTGGAACAGACGTGGAAATGGAACTTTCTGTTTCTGTGAATATGGACTTTCTGTTTTCAATATTGGCCTGGCCTATAGCTGCTTTGTAGCACAACCACCAAACAACACACAATGACACAATGAGCAGAATCGATCATTTAGGCCCAACTTCAATATCACACACGTACTCAACTAGATCCTATATGCAATTGTCCAGTACTACTACAATGCTATGCTAAGTTGCTAACATAATCATATTATTTTGTAGCCATGTTAACAATTCATTAAATTTGTTTCTGTGTATTTCTCTATGATTCATGGCGTTTTTAAGTTCCGCTCAACGCCCACTTTTGTTACCGTGTCCGCTCTGTATTCGCTCTGTGTCTGTTTTCGGTTATCTGTCTCCGTATTCATTTTTGGGGTTTCTGTATTTGTTTCTGCATCTGCAAAAAAAAATGGAAACAAATGTGGCAGCACCCAGTTCTGTCCGTTTCCGCTCCGTTTTCATCCCATCTAGTATCTATCAATAGTAACATGTCAAACAGAAATTGACCGCCTCTATGGTGTAGAAACTTGTCCTCGATAGAATACTCACTCATTTTCCCCTCTTTCTTGGTTTGCCACTTTATTAAGATGCATATCATCTTACTTCATATAACCTACACTGTGATGTTCGATTTGCTTGTTCTCCAAACTTTTCTAGGATGATGACTCAGTTGATTTAGTAAAAACAGGATTGACTATAGGATCTCATGAGTATGTTTGGGTTAGTGCAACTGTTCAAGCAAGCCACACATTTATAATCAGTCACCTAACCCTTTCTAAAGCATTGGTGGTTTTGGAAATATACTGCAAAAAAAGTGATCATGCTGAGTATATCACATATGACTGTTCTCAAAGCATGGTTTCATTGTGTATCGGCAAAACTTTTCAAAACATGGCAGACGGAGAAGATCACAACTAGTCTGGTTTGCGATGGCTTAAGTGAAATTTGTTTTTCTCTCGGTTCCAGCTACCATCATGTTGCATTATTTTGGATAGGAAAAGTGAAGTGTTGAAGATATATTACTGTTAATTGGAGGGTCTAGTTAAAATATACACTTGTGTGTTTCCTAATTATATATGAGAACTCCGTTTTGTTTTGATAGGATATGTTGGATTTATACATTTATATAGTAGTACAAATGACTGAATCAAACTATAAAATTGTTGCTAAATTACTGGAAGCAATCAACTTTGCTGCATGCATTTTAATGTAGCAGTAGCAAAGACCATGCTTGGAAGTTGGAACTATCCTTTGCTGATAGGTTAGCTTTGTAAAATATTTATGCAAACTTATGAAGTCCAGATAAAAAAATATGAGTTGGCAAAACCAGTTCTATCAAATGCAGAACTGTTACTCTTTGTGGAGCCTTGCAATTGGCTGGGAAGCAAAATATCTTGTACCACCTATTGATCCACTTTATTATCACAGCTTAAAGCCTCTATTGTTCTGTAACTGCTACTGTTATCTCTACTACTATAGTACACGATTTTTTGAATATTTGAATCTGCCTTCTCCTCTCATATTTTACCTGCCACTTCCAGAATCGAATCATCTATGGCCGTCAACTTATTAAATCGAACGGCCCGTGTTACCCGGATTCGCCCCTCACGCAGTCCCGCCAAACCTGAAAACAAGTCGCCCCTTCTGGAGAACTCCACAGCCCCCACGATAGCCCCTCCACCCCAGGCTCTAGCAAATCGATTCCCTGCCAACCTCCCATTTTTCATCTCACGCTGGTCTTTCCCCTGGAATCTGGATGCTCCGTATCCAATTTCTCTAGCCCGTGGGTCAACTCACACACCAGCAGCTCCATTGGTCCATCCCCGGTCCACACACCCAGTACGGCAGCACCTCCGGATCACCTCCACGTCCAGATTGCATCTCCAGCCCCGTCTCCTTGCAGGCTCTGGCTTGCTTCGAAATTTGTTTCCGCCTGGTGATTAAAGGCTCATAGGAGCTGGACATCCATCTACGGTCAGCTGACCATAGTGCCGTTGACCACAGGTGAGGTTGGTGATTCTTCTGTTCCTTTGAGATTTTGTTGCATGAGAATGTTGTGCAAGTGATTCTTCTTGCTGAGGATGATATGAAATACAGATCCACTGGTCTGATTGTAGCTTGCTGATTTTTCTACTTTTCTTGCACGCAAGGTGTTTGTGTTTATGTCCAAACAGTACACTAAGAAAGGCAATGCAGCATATGTTCATTCTGTTCTGCAAAGCCAAATAAGGATATTGACCCATCAGGGGAAAGCACAAAAAATATTGTCTACAAGGATGTTTTGGTATAATTCATCTGCATGCTGTGTACTGCAGTGTGATGTTTCTAATATGGTTGTATTGTTGTAAATAGTACCCAGGAAAATAATGTTATATAGGGCTTCAGTCATTAGTTTGTCCTTGTGAAAGTTGTAGACCAAAAGTTATATTTGCAGGGGTACTATTCTAGCATATACAATACTTAAACCATGTACTACTCCTTTTTCAGTTATTGCATATAGCAGAAATCCAGCAACAGAAGTGAGCAAATATCATTCTTTATGATACAGAGCCATTGGGCTTCAAATGTATATACAATATACTGACATTTTTCAGTTTTAACGTACAACATAGACATCCTGTCAACGGAAGGGAGCACAGACCATTTTGCTTTACTCATACCATAAATAGATTACTAATTCCAATCTGATGCGCCTTGGCAGCAAGACCATGAACAAAACCAGCGGATTGCCTACCAATTTTGAGAAATTACACAGGCGATAAACCCCGGCATATGTTGGGGACGACGACGCAGGCAGCTGTTGTTGAAGAAGAGGTGGTCGCAGCAGATCGTGGTGCAGCAGCTTTCAAGGAGATTTACGCCCTCGCCACGGTGCACGAGTTGTACAGCGGCTCTCCTCCAAGATACAATAATCTCCTATCTCCTATTGTACACTCAAGAGGAGACGAACCAGCAGGTTCTCACGAACATAGCTCTTTCTATGCCAAAGTTCAGATGTATGTGGAGAAACTCAAGATTGATCTACCCAAAACATCTGCCGTACGTGGCCTTATATAGTCTCCTTCTCAACTTGAAAATTTTATCTCTTGGCCAGCAAGTTTTCTTAGATAACAAGCTTAATTCGTTGGCCAAAATATCAGAAGAAGTTGAGTCAATATCTGGTACGTACAGCTGAAACCAAAACTGTTTAAATCACCCAAACTGATAACAAACAGAGATCACAAATTCTGTTCAGAGGTGTCCCATCTGAACGAACGCGAAGATTGGCGTTGATTCTATCACAAGTCAAACGGAAAACAGGGTATGAAATCTTAACAAGCGATTAACGGCATTGTCAAGACATTCATTTGTAACTTTATTCAGAAACCGAAACAGACAAAATCTGATCCTTAAAAGCTAAAATGAAACTGAAACTCTGAACTTCTGAATTCCAACAGCATAAATGTTGTAACTTCTACATGCTGGCAATGCATTAGAGTTAGCAGAATCATATTTGAACTCAACGAGGGAAGTGCAATGATCCAGCGTCAAGTGCATATCAAACTTCATAGTGTTCACTTCAGAGTTTTCAGCATCGAAACAATTCTCACGTTCCTGGTTCGCGTTTTTTTTTGGAGAATCGGCAGGGAGCTCACCTGGTTCGCGTTTCTGAGTGGGGCTCCATACAGGACGGTAAGGCAGGACGCAGAAGTTCGAGCGGTCTCCCCTAAAATCAAAAACAAAAAAGTTTTTTTTTAAATAGAAGTCGAGCGGAACAGGCTATTCTCACGTTTTTGCATGATTTTTACAACATGCATTGATATGGACTGATACATATCCTTTTTTCTGCTTGCAAAAAATATTGGATATGCGTGGTAGAATGCATTACATCCATGTACGTCCAAGTAATGTACGTAGAATGCATGGAGATTATTATTTTCTGGACAAAATTTAATGCCATGATGTACGTAGAATCCATTTCGTGAATATTAACTGCAAGTTTGTCTTTTTTTTTGCGGGAAACTGCAAGTTTTTAAATGTTTGGGAAATATAGGAAAATCAAATTGTTCATGAACATTGTAAATTGGCAAGCGATTGCAAAGCTAAAACTCCATATAAAAAGTGTTTCATTTATACATAAGACTTTTTGCTTGTATCGTCTTTTTATTAAGAATGCACACGTGCAAAGCACGTGCCTTCGACTAGTATTTACTAGTACCAATTT